CACACACACACACACACACACGTCCTAAAAGAGTCAGGCAGACGAGATTTACATATTCAACTAAACAACTTCTCTGCCCCTGCTCTCTCTCTCTCTGCAGCTACATGCATTTCGGTCATTTTGCTAACAAGGGTGACGGCACCCCCCTCTCATGCCCGCTAAGATCGCCCACTGCTTCCTGCGAAGATGGTAAATGCCAAGTCAAAACAGGAGTACTCTGAGTAATTGCATGCTCCTGTTCTCTCTTTGACAGAAATAATTTCTCTCCATAGAAACTCCTCCAACATCGGGTGAATGTTGCAGACCAATTAGAACCATTTGAAGGACAGAGAAAAAAAATCATACCACAGAAAATATTTCTCGTTCATTTTTTCAATTCAAGCTCCCCCGCTCAAGTAAAAGTGACTTTTCATCTGTTGCCTGGCTTCTTCGGCCACAATCACAATGTTATGTGCGGTCATTAACAATGGATATAGGACAGGCAGTGAAGTGGGCTCCCCGTGGGTCTGAGCATCTGTTGCAGAGGGTTCAGCACTGCCATGGAAAATTGGACATTTAGAAGCCAGCTGGAGGACCACGCTGCCCTGCTGTGCTACCACTACTTAGGTGCCCACTGGCTTCATGCCACCACCAGCTACTGTAGGAGCCACTGGACCAAAGCAGTCAGGCCAGATGGTGCCCTTGCCAACCTACTAGTGGCCGCTGTGAACTGCCACTGCCCGCTGCCCCTTGTCCCCTGTCCTATCTTTCAACTCAGAGACGAGTTCGGAGTACATGAGGTAAAAAGTTTTTTGGGAAGGGAGAGAGGTGTAGACGAAGCTCAAGTGAGCTGAGAGTACATCGGAATATAAACGGGCCACATTACACTGTGTGTTTATTAGTCTAAGCAGCTGCGAGGCAGAGTCAGGGAATCAGCCGGTAGGAGAGATTCTGCTCCACAGGGAAATAAAGCCATCTCTGGGCTCAACTCATTTGTCTGGCTGTGAACTGATAGATAATTATATTAGGAGCTGTAAGTGCTCTTCTGTGATACAAGCGTTACTACCATCTTCAAAGGCTCAGAATAAAAAAAGGTAGGCAGGAGGAGACTCTGTGAGCTACAACTGAGAGAGTGCGTACAAATATAGAGATTTTGTAGTGGATTCAATACAAGGAGCCTCTTTTAAAGTCCACATCGTGGAGCTACGCTCGTACTGGATCAGTGATTATACTCACTTTACAGTATTAACCATAGAATATCTGGTTAAATATTAAGACTACTTAATATTATTAGTTCGTGTTTTATTCCAAGTTTCAAGTCTCAAGTTTATTTATGTCATTCCAACCATATTTGTAAAGCACAGTGGAATGAAATTGTGTTTCTCAGGACCTGTATGTTTATTTAGTATGTTCCCCTGTGTTAATTCTAATTAAATTGGTTTTATTATTTTAGCTTTTGAAATCTGTTTTATGATATCACACTGTTAGCTTTATTTTTGGTTTTGTCTTATTCTTGACTCATCAGTCAATTGTGAAGCACTTTGAACTGCTTTCTGTGTGAAAGGCTCTATACAAATAAAGTTTGATTGATTGATTGATTAATTTAGATCGGCCAAGATAGTGAGGTCTGTAAATTCTTGTAAATATTGATAATCCTTTACGAAACACAGTTTTAAACATATTTCATTTGTGTGATGATGGAAAGTGACAGAAGAAATATTCACATCCTATAAAAACAGCAATGCCACAAACTTCTGATATGACTAATTAACATTTCTTTTTATAAAAGTGTTGCCAAATGACATTTATAGAACAACCTTCTGTAGAGTGATTAAAGATAATCAGCATAAATAAATAACAGAAACGGGCTGATGTTGGTCGAGAGGCAGGCAGGTCGCCATCATGTCATTACCATTTATGCTAAGACTTGTCTTTAGACTATAGGCAAAGGCAAACTAACCGAACCGGGAATTGAACCAAGAACCTTGCTGCTGTGAGGTGACAAGCTACCGACCGCACCACCTGACAATGAATGGGACCAAATATTCACATGTAGCTAAGTAAATGAGTTCTTATTCTTAAATGATTACATAAACCAAAGTCACGAGATAAATGTAAACAGAAATACTTTATTCCACTATTACACAATAACAAGCTTGGAAAGAAAAAAAATTACAAAAAAGAGAAATGGAACCAAAATCTACAAAGCACCACATAATATAGACGACTCATAAATGTTTCAACGAAACCTTATGCTAACGGCCTGTACTCTACCTAAGGTATCATCATCATCATTAAGAATTTAGAAATCAGCAAAAATGTCTGGACATCAAGCACAGTCATGCCAGTAATAGTAATATCTTACAGATTCATGTGGCGATGATTCAGAGTGGGAGGGGAATGTGATCCTTAAAGGTTCACTCTACGTGTTGAGACGGAACAGAGAGAGAGTGGGTTTGAGGGAACTGTAGTCCATCGTCTGTTTGGTATGATATAGATTTGCATTTGGTATAAAGAAGAGTTTAGGAGGCAGACGCGGGTCACAAGAGTATTTGCCATAACACTTTTAATGCTTTTCAATGAGGTACCAGGTGGGTGGAGATCACCATGTAGAATATAGTAAAATGAAACCAGCGGAAAAGTACCTGAAGGGTAAATTTGTACATTTGTCTGTATCCTACAATGTGAAGTTATATGGTCAGTTACTCCCATCCATCTGGTTTAGCACTAACTCCAATCCTAATATGCAAACACTGTTTGACCCACGCCTGTGAGGAGGAGAGTGAAGAGACATTGGGGCGGTGATACTATTTTTTGTTTTTTTTACATGGAAAACACTGTACAGGTGCCTTCAGATCTGCCAGGACTAAAGGCACATGGGGTCCACTGAGCAACAGATGTGTCCATTCTGTAGAGGAGAGAGAAGACACACATGAGTGGATTATCGTCACACTTTAACCTCAGGCAAATATGCATTTGAAGTTCCACTGATAATACTTCCAGGTGGAGACGGTGCTGCAGCATACTGACTCAGTTTGGCATTTAGGATTCCTCCGGGCGTAATGTCTGTACCGAGCGATCCAACGTGGTGATACATTCTACTGAGACTACAGATGCCAATGGTCATAGTCCTTCTGCTTTAAATTTAGGAGGCTGATAAACTCCCTGGTTGTCTGAAGGTTTGCAGGGACAGGGCACGATGTGTTATATCACCAAAGGGACAAGGTTCAAAATCACTAAAGGCATGCTCTTATCTGAAGGTGTATATCTTTTGTTTAATCTTTTTTTCTTGTTGCTACGGTAATATCATAATTGTTTCATTACCACAATCATCAACTAAAGGTATAGTACTTGACACTAGTTCAAATGTGCCAAATAAACTTTCTGCAATTGGTATGAAGTCCAAACTATCCATCCAAAGTGTTTCCACGCTGTAAACAAACCAAAGCATGGTTCAGTTTGTTCCAGACCAAGATCCCCCATTGGTTGGACTACACTTTGGTCTGTTGGTCTGAGGCACCCTTCACACCTGTTTCTCTGGTTCAGGCTAAACTGACAAGTCTGAATGTCCAGAACAAACAAGGTAGGTGTGAAAGTGTCCTTTGTCTGAGTTAATTCATTTGAATTCAATCTAAATCTTTGACTGCTGCTGTCCTCTGTCCAATATGTGGAGATCATTGCCAGGCAAGACTCTGGATACGGAGTCAGTCGGGGCTGCCGCTGGATTAGTGCTGAAGCTGGGAAAACAATTTGTTCTCACAACAGGTAATGGAGTGGTTGTTCGCCTGCATAGTTCACTCTCTGTGATTATTCTACAAAACTCCACAACTCTTAAAAACAAAAAGTTCTGGAGGGCAGCAAACTCCACCTGATTTACTAGAACCAATTATATGAGTGTGGCCCAGTTATCTAGATAAGACAGTCTGAGGCTCCATACATTGTAAGGACTGCATGTATAAACATGTCTGCTTGTTTAACACAGAGCGGAGGACGGAGCAATGTGACTCCCCACTGTGGCTGAATCAGAGGACGAGGGGCTGACCGATGTTTTCTAAGAGCTGGATCCTCTTGGTCCGAGGTCTCAGTTCTTTTTTAAGTTAAAGGGACAGTTCTACATTCCCTGAAATATGCATATTGCTTTTTGTCTGAGAAAGAGCTAGAAAGATCAATAAAACATGATAAAATATAAAATATCCGTACAATATGGAATTACAGCCATCACATGGCCAGCATTAGTTTAATACATGAAAACAGCCAACTTTTCATTGCTGTGAGGTTGCCAGGCAACAGGCAATGACTTCAGGTAGTTATAACTCCCATTATTTTTACACTTTTAGCACTTTTATGACACAGGTATTTGTACGGACATAATGAGGGACATAATGTATAATATAATGAGCTTACGAGTTTCAGGTCTTTATATAAAGTTATGTTAACTGGCTGCTGGCTGTGGCAGACAGATAATAGCTGTGTCTCAATTCAGAGGCTCCTTCAAATATGGCCAACCAAAGCGTCCTTTCTACCCTGATCAGCGAAAGCTCCAATGAGTGGATCTTCTCAGGGCCAACCTATCCCAGGATTCATTGTGTTTCAGTGAGAATCTGTTTTACAAAGGGATAATGGCAGCAGCAAGCGATAAGACTGAAATGTCAGATAATAACACTTTTAAATCTTAATATCACATTTAAATTCAACCAAAATTTTTTAAAGTGTAGCCAAATGTAGCGCTGTTGCCAGGAAGCAGCAGTAAAGGCTGGAGATGCAAATCCTGGACATTCTCTGGAGACCAGACCGTCTCATTTTGGTTTGGCCTAAGTCGTCTATACGGCCAAAGAAGGCTGTTTCCTCCTAAACTGCATAGACCACTTCCTCCGAAGAGGCGTTCCCCAAATTGGGCCACAGGTACAGTAGTGGGAAGGAGCATAAAACCAATAAGTGAATTTTCCAAAATGTCAAACTACTGAGAAATATAAATGGCACATGGGACACATCACATGACTTTTTCATTTGAAAGCCAATAATTCTCCAATGGATCATCATATCTTTTATTTATTATATTCTCTGACAGAAAACAGCATCTGTCACATCTATAACTTTGTTAATACATAAACTGTGTCCTATATGTGCATACGTTTTATTTATCACCATGTGTAACAGAGGTAAAGTCTGCACCACAGTGTCTGAAAACACTAACATTTTTGTAATTTGCCGTCTCAGGGCTGCCTGCAGGGCTGGCACCTTACCTTGCACTGGCACAGAGTGCACTCGGTGCCATGTTTGATCCAGGAGGAGCCACTGAAGCGTGAGATGTTGTGCTCGTCCGTGCACGTCTTGGTGATGTCGTTGCGGATGGTGTCGGCCAGGCAGGGGTCGGTGACACAGCGGGGACAGCACTCGCCCTCGGGCACCACAGTAAACTCACAGTCAACTGGTGGACACGGCAGAGGCCAGCAGTCCACCTGCCCTTGCTGCGAAGGTGGAGGGGGAACATTGGAGACAGACAGACAGAGAGGAGGGAAAGTTAAAAATAATCACTGCTCACCCACTTTTGCATTGTCTAATGCAAAAACAGTGACTCTTTAAAATAACCATTTTTCCCCTGACGCTTTCTATTTGCATGCTAGAGGGAGCAGGGAAAAAAAGAAAGTTGTTAAGGTACCTAGAAAATATAGATGAGCGGAGCAATCTTCCGACACAGTCAGCATTTATTTTTCAGACCGTGGAGGTAAATGCTCCAGCGTTTTAATTGACTTGTTCTAGTCCCCCTCTCTTGTTGTCCCTCTATTAATCTTTCAGCTAACTTTTAGCACAGAAAGCCTTATTGGATTTTCTCCTGCTGCCATTTTTTCTTGGCCTGAGAAAACGTGTCGTAAATATATTTTGACCAACTCTACAAATCCTATCCGCTGTAATGCTATATCATTCTGGCCTGACCCACTTCTGCTTACGCTGTCATCCGTGAGCGTTTTCTGCTTCACGCCTTAATGCAGCATGAAATATGAGCCCGGAATTTATATGTTCAAACACACAAGGAGATACAAAAGACGCACACATACACTCATACACACAAACACACACACACACACACACACATATAAAGGTACAAGAGGCTTGATGCTGCGGATATTTAATATCACTGAAAATCGTGCGGCTCAGCATTTCAGAAATGTTGCTGTAAATTAGCCTGGCTATAAAGCAGTGGCTCACGTAGCGCTAATGCCCACTCTCTGCCTCCATGTAGTGTATAAACATCTGAAGTGGGGAAAAAATCTTTGACTGTAGCCAGAGGGAGACACCAAGCGCAGACTCGGTATCTTTCCCACACTGCGATAAGGGAGAAGTCATATTTGTCCCTTTATGCAGATGTGGCCTGTGAACACAAAGGAGAAAGAGATTTGCCGCACAATCAGCTTCTTTTTTTGCCTTTCGAACAGAACAACTGTGGCGTGTTCCTTTGATCCAAGTGAAACTGAAGCCGGTGATTTCATTTGCTTTCTGATATTTCAGGAGGTTATCGTTTTCATCTGGATTCAATCAGTGTCCACGGTATCCCACTGCAATTTAACATGAGTGCCTTCACATGGACAGATGTAAGGATGTGTGCGATGGCACAAAATGCCTCCAGGATATTAAAATCTAGTGACATTTATCTTTGGCTGGGAATTAGTGCGCTCCATTCTTTCCTGTGCCTTGACCTACAGACGCTCGGGAACTCAATGCTCTGATCTTCTGGTGATTTAACAAGATAGCAAATCGCAAAGTGGCCCAGGTGTGCACCGTCTGCAAAGGCCACGCTCTTGATTTCAAATGTTTGCACGCCTTTCAGAGGAGGATTCACATCTCGGTCTTGGGAGACTATTTTGGCCGTCCGCCTGCTGTCACTGTGTATTTTAAGGCCCCCGCTGAGCCTGGATGGCCATGGCTCTGCTAAGTGTAGCAGCATTCAAGGTTCATTTCACGCCACTGGAAATGCGCGGTATCGCACAGCGGCCCTCGCCCTATCAAAGCGCTGCTCTTTGGCTGCTGGTGCTGCACCTCGCGTGTGTCTCTGCATCTTTAATTGATGGACTTTTATGTGCGTTTGCGTGGATGCATGAAAACGATGTGAGAGATATGTTGCTGTGGTGACAGGTGTGCCTACATTCTCAAACATGAGTACATGCGTGTGTACACATGTATCCATACCCGTGTCCTCTAATGTTGTGTGTTTGTGTGAGCTCTGCTGCTGCGACGGGCAGCATGTTCCCAAATATGTTTGTGTCTGCTTGTGTCAACATATAAGTGCAGACAGCGAGAGCGGGAGTGAAGCCTAGCGAACCCATTTTCAGCCGACTGTGCTTCCCCACCACCACCGCTGCCTCTCAGCTGAGCAGTGATTTTCAAGCTTCTCTGTAATGGTTTTCTGTAAGAAATCCAGAAATCAGCCCTTGGGTACTGGGCATCTGGACAGCGTTACAATGGCGGGGAGAGGAGGAAGGAAATGGCATCGCTGTTTTCTTCTCAGACCATAAATCTGTCAGAGTGCAGCCAAGTTACATTAGCCACGAGTACGGCTGATCTTTGGAAGCAACAAACAGTGTGTGTGTGTGTGTGGGGTGGGATGTGGGGGGGAGAATATGATTTGTGAGTCACTGAACAGAAGGGGTGACACTGGTGTGGGTGTGCGTTGAAGCTGAGTGTGGGTGAGACGAGGCCATGCGGCAGAATGTAAAGCATGACATTAGCATTTAATATGCATAGAGCTGTAAAGTGAGAGGGGCGTCACAGGTAGAAGGATTTATTGCTTGTGTCAAGTTGATTGGGGAACACTTCTGGAATGCTTCCCCGCTGATGGAACAGCCACACTGTGTAAACCTATTAAAGATACACACGGAAGAGGGGGGGGCAGCATGTGCGTGTTACTGTGAAAAAGTACACAATGTTATTTTTGTTTAGTGTGAGAAATAGGAGTGCACGCAGAGGACACTCAAAGCCACAGAAACACACAGGCAGCAAATACTCATCAATCAAGAAACGTACACACACACACACACACACACACACACACACACACAGATGGTACACACTGTTACACCCTCCCACTCTTAAGACACAAACCTCCTGTTCTCTTAACCTTCACTGAAATGTATAACTCCATCACAGCAGACAAAAATTGCAGAGGGTCTTTTGAATTCTTTCAAAAATGGCACTAATCATCCTCTCTCCTTTCTTCTGCTACGAGATGAAAACCAATCTTCTCTGCAGCCTTTCCTATTCACCTCCTCATCACTCTGGCCACAAAACTTCTCTCCTTGACTTTCTTTACAGAACACATCTCTCTATTTGAGAGCATTTCCATGGAGACCGGCATATTTGTTGCATTTCTTTGTGGTACTTCAATGGACGCTCATGTTTTGGCTCTTGCTGTAAAATGGCTCAGGATGAAAGTGTTGATTAGAATTCCTGATATGTTCCCCTATACTCACCAGGCACTGACACTGCTGGCAGTTCTCCACCCACGTGTCCCCGCTGCCGTAGGTGAGCAGGCCGTTCTGGTGCAGACACTGGCTGCTCAGGCGAGGGTCACACTCGGGGCAGCAGAACAGGTCGGCGTTGGGGTTGTCGCAGTCGCAGACCATCCTGCGGCACATGACTTGGCCGGCCTGGGCGCAGGGCACAAACACGCACCATCAAGTGAGCAAAAAAATGAAACATCACAGGGCTGCAGAGTCGTGTGCACATATTCATATACATGCACAGACAGGGCCATTTGTTTAATGGGATCATTAAAAATGCATGTTGATCGTAAATATTGTAATAAAGGCTGTGTCGCTCTTCCTAGAGCAACTGCTGTGAAGCTGATTCGGTCTCAGCTAGAACTACGGCTAAAACACACAACAGCACTTCTCCTTCCTGGTCGTCAGTGTGGTGTGTGAGGAAGAATTACTTGCCTGTCTTGTTGTTGTCTCAGTGATTTAAGGAGCTTTTCACATGTGAGAACTGCTGCAGGTCATTTCTTCAAGCAAAAATGCCCCAAATTCTTTGGAGTATTTACTGATTTTCTTGGTCTGTGATATTAAACCAACTTATCTTTATGTTTTCGAGCCATGGGCAGAGAAAATAAAATATCTCAATACACCAGTCTGGCCTTTGAGAAACTGCGATGGGGATTCTTTACCTTTCTCTGACAGGATCATCTGCAGGCCCACAGACACTGTAGATCCTAGATAGAGTGGGTAAATTATGAATATAGGAACAGGTTCTATTTGTTACCTTTATATCGATTCTCTTTTAGGTGTTATTTACAAACAGGAAGAGCAAGTTTTGTTTGTAGATGTATCGCAGGTCGTTTCTTGTTACTGTCAGAAGTCTGACACAAAACTGCACTAAACACTTTAAACTCCCATAGTCAGTGTAATCTCAATCTGTCCATGTGCAACCTTTTTACATAAATCCTGTTTACATTGAATCCATTGATTTATTTACCACTAGAGTTCTGATCCTATGACATACTCTGAGTTTTTAGTCTGTCACAGTTTTGCTGCCGTATTTTAAGGACACTTAAGGTCACATCTCAATGAAACTATCCTGCTTTAATAAAGGTTCAATAAAAGAATGTTTACTAAAAATCAATGTTATGATCAGAGCCGATTATACATATTGACCTAACATAGAGCAGTCTGCAGTAAATCAAAATGAGTACGTACAAACAAAATATTTAAAAAACACATTTAAAACTTCTGTTTTTTTGTTGTGCATAGTTTTTTCTTTACTGTCCCCAACGATCCGCAGATCTTCCTGCAAATCACCTAAATGTATTTACTTTTTTTTTTAATTATCAACCTCCACTACCAAATGCACTTATGTGGTTGACCCCGCCCTCCTGCTGCTCCCCGCAGACTGAAACACTGAAGTCTAACATGATGTCAGTGTGGACAACACCCAGTCTTTGTCTTCTCTCTGAGGTTTGACCTTGGTTTCCCCTGTAACTTTGTTGCTGCAGTCCGTCTGATACCCAGCTGTGCCTCTGCCCACCGTCAAAACAATAACATGTTTACTTCTCCGCTCCTTCAGCTGCTCAATACCACTAATTTTGACAGGCAGCTCTTCAATCTCTCCAATCAATTAATATGACTCATTTAATTAGGGAGCCATTTCTGCCCTGGTCCTTTGTAATCAAATGAATAATTTGCCGCTTGATCATTCACTACTGCCACTAATCCACTATAATCACCTTCCACTGCTGCCAGACACTCAGTATTAGGTTGAGTGAAATGCTAAAATGCCGAGTGTGACTGGTCCGTGACCTGATGTTCATGAGGGTAGATTGGGACGATGGATTGAGTTTTCTATACCGAATGTTTCCAGAAACTCGGCATCAAAAATCAATCAAAACGACTACGTCAAAAGCATGAGTCACTGTGGTGGACCTCTAAACATACTGTGTATGGTCAATGAGGGAATTGAGGATTTAATTGAAAAATATTCATGATATTGTTCCACTGTATTTGTTTTCCATGTCGTTTCAGCCTGTTTTAGCCCTTTGTCTGTTTGTTCATCACCTCAAAGAGACAATACATGAACTTGGGTTGTAGTGAGCTTAATGTCCAGCTCAACACATTTGCGTTCACAGCTCCTATGGCTTGATGTGTACAAAGGTTCATGGTTGCAGTGCATCTATCTAAAGGCAGATATAACAGATATACTTCACAACTACTGGTGTATTAAAAAATAGATAAGGGATGAAAACTGGAAAAGTCCATTTGTTTGTTTGTTGTTTGATTTGTTTGTTTGCAGGATTTTGCAAAAACTACCAAACAGATTTCCACGAAACTGAAAGGATGGGACATGGGCCAAGAGGGATCCCATTAAATTTGAACTAGATTTTCCAGGAAATAATTCATGGGAAAAGAATCTGGCATATTAGGGGACTGATACCTGATGAATGTGTGCAATTTGGTGAGGATCAAAATGAGAATCTGCATCTAGCAGATAATGTGGTTTCATGAGGGGACTGTTTGCTCTTGTGGAGGTACACGCTCTACTCAGTAGTGTGGATTAAATTTGTTGGGCACTGCTTGTAATGTATGTTATTTCTCACTTGTGTCAGATCCCAGTCATGACAGAAATTGGGGGAGCTAGATTTATGAATCGTAACTCTTTGTGTAATAAAATGTGTGATTTCACACATTTCAATATATAATTGTTGACATATTATTAACTGAAAGTTTATTTGGTTTAAGTCCCAATTTGCTGTTTAAATTAGCTGAGCTGGCACTGTACCATAGAGCAGCTTTACAGGGGGACCACACAGTTGGCAATAATAGTGCTCTGGTGGTTTGGCACTGTGATCGCTATCCCATTGCAAATATTTCACCTATTGTGAAAATAGAAGATTTATAAGTGCAGCTTTAAGAACATGTATATACTTAATGGTGTATCATGACCTCGTGTTCTGAATGAATGAAACATTAAAGTAGAAATACTGGATTTGGGACTTCACTGTGAAAATCCTCTTAAATGTCAACTAGATGCAAATTTACACATCAAAGTGTCCTAATCTGACATTATTATGTATTTATCCAGAGTTAGTGAATCCAGTGATTGTCACAAATTCAATAAAATGTTGGTTTCATGCATCATCTACTTGAACACTGTGCAACAGTATTCCTCAAATGTCAGCGACTGCTTAAACAGGAACAGTGTGTTGACGAGACAAGCAGTAACAGGTTTAAAGCTGCATTGTTGCTCTTAGGCTGAGAGAGAACACACAAAAGGAGAAAAAATAAAATGACCAGTTGGGTGCACATACAGTAACACAACATTGTTACTTGAAAAAAAAGCGTAGAGCACAATTTCTCTGTTCCAATTTATTCTTTGTTTATTTTTTTATCATATCCAGCTCTCTGCCTGTTTCAGCTAACCCGTCCCCCACTGCTTTGTTTTCTCTCTCAGCTTTTCTTTGTCTCCATGTCCACCTCCCTCTGTTTCTCACCTGACAGGAGCACACGGAGCACCTATCGCTGTCCAGCACCCAGATCTGCCCACTGTGCTTAACCTTGTTGTCATGGATACAGTCGCCGGTGCAGTTGTGCCCGTGGGGGCACCGGCAGTCGTAGCCTCCGTCCAAGTTGAAGCACACTGTGTCATTGGCACAGGTGTTCCTCCCAGTCTTGCATTCATTAATGTCTGTGGAGAGCGCAGAAGAAGATGACATCACACATACGCTCAGCACAAAAAACAGTTTTGAAGCTCGACTCGTGTTGATTTTTGCTGTTTAATAAGTCTGGTGATGTTGCTCTGGTAACAAACACACAAGGTAAACAAAACGCGTTCCGTTGCAATATGGTTACAAACTCAACACGTTTCAATGAGATGACATGTTTTGTTTTTTGACCCGCGCTGTGCACTCTCAAGCTGCTCAACACGGCAGCGTCCCCAGGCTGTAAAATGTAGCAACGCAACATTTTCCACATCTAAAGGAAACCACCACAGTAAGCAGCTGTAATGTAACCCAGAAACCCACTTTTGGTCAAATTATAACTTTGCTTTGTGAGACGCAGACAGGTTCAGTTTTTTGAGGATGCCTTTAACATGCACCCCCCCCCCCGCCTCCTGCAGCTCAAACTGACAGCCAGGATGAGGTCAACGAGTAGAGCATCGCTAGCACTATTGTTACAGGCGAGGCTTCAATGTTAGTGTAGATTGGTGGTTTCCGTTTTGACAACTGACACTTCTCCTGACAGGCTGCATCTGAGAGAATGATACAGAAAATGAACAGGCAGCGAAAAGAAAACTGACATTTTGGGGAGAAAAACGCACTGATAATGACGTACCTATCCAATCATACCAGTCCGTACACAAGTGCAAGAAAACATCAGAGGTGTACATTTGTGATGCAGGGTGACTCACACATTTAGAAGTTTTGGTCAATTAAAATGTGCTGTTTTTAGTGTTTTTAATTTGGTTGAAAGAAATTACAAATACAAAAGATAAGACACATTTAAATGCGTGAACATGAACATTTTGTACGACAGAGCATTAGAAAAAAGATCTGGGACTTAATTAAGTCACCAGTTATAATTTAAGGCTGTTGTCATGTTACAGCCGGAATATTAGAGGATCAGCTGGTTGCTCAAGTTATACTTTAATATATATTTCACGGAAGACCTCCTTTTGTGGAGGAGGAAACGTTTGGTAGTGGTGACTAGAAGGTGATCATTGGTTACATTTGCATGATATTCAAAGAAGTTTCAGATTGGTTCAAGATTTTCTGTGAAGTGAAACTCCAGTGAGCACCGGATCTCCCTGCTGCTTTTTTCCATTTTCCACTTTATTCTCGTAATAGTCTATAATTACTTTTTGTGTAGTTAAATTATGACTTTATTCTCATATTACTTTTTTCCATTAAGCTTTATTCTCATAATAAAACGACTTTTTTCGCAACTTTTTTCATAATAGGCCTACTCGTGGTATTATGAATTTTTCTTGTTAAACTACAAATCTATTCTCGTAATATTACGACTTTCTTTTCAACTATGACTTTCTTTTTTTTTATGAAAAATGTTTGTCACAATATGACTTTTACCACTGAAATTGTTCTACATGTGATCTGTGTTAAAAAAATTGATTCCCCTGAATCAAAGTTGCTATCTCAAAATCTGAGGACAAGTCAAAGTTTTTTTCTCCACTAGACATGACATATTTGTGTAAAATAAAGGTGGGCCACTGACCTACACACGATTCCCCACTGGCAGAAAACAAGCCGTTGTCATGGTAGCCATCGCGGCACTCACAGTGGTACCAGCCGGGCAAGTTGACACAAGTAGATTTGCTATCACACTCCACAAAGCCGTCCGCACACTCATCAATATCTGAGGAGAGGATGGGAGAGGAGAGAAGAGGAGAGGAGAGAAGAGAAGAGAAGAGAAGAGAAGAGAAGAGAAGAAAAGAGAAGAAAGGCGAGGAAAGGAGAAGAGAAGAGAAGAAAATAGAAGAGAAGCACATTCAATCAGGATCATGTTGTTCTCAAGAAATATGCTCTTGCTCCATTCTTGCCTGGTAGGCATTTGCAATTGACTGATTCATAATTGATAAAACAATGTGTCTGGCATCACAGTGAATCCAGTCCATGGGTTTTATTGATCAAGCAAGGCTGCATGGCCAGAGAGACGGACAAGTGCACCAATGAAAGATAACAGGGAATGAATGAAACTAATATAACAAGCCTATTCTCAGAAGCCACACATGTAACAGGCTTTTGTTTTTGAAATCCTACACAGTCTCTTCCTCTGACACACGCAGGCACACAAATACTGTGTGCTCGCTTTTTATTTTGCTTGATCGTAAGGAGTTTCTCAGATGTGAGGTGTGAAGAAGCTCAGTCAAAGGGTCTGAAACTTCTTCTATCCTGGCCGGGGGTGGCTGTCAATAGGTGGAGCTGATGTTTGTATTCACACAGCTGCACTCAGAAACAATCCCTGACTCTGCCTCCTTCCTCAGCGCTTGTCTTCGATTACACGCCCCGACTTCCCCCTCTGTGAATTTTTATTTTTTCCTCCTGCACGATTCTCTTCGTCTCCTTTTATCTGCATTTCCTTTCTGTTTCCAACTGGCCAACGTTCAGCCCTTTTCATGTCGACAAGCAACCCTGCAACTTTCCTACAGACATCAGCCAAGAACAATGCATTCTAATTTTCAACAATGAGCAAAATATGCCCATGAGAGACAGATAGCTCTGATATTTCAGCTTATATTTAATTAAACCAAGGGCCGTGCCCACATGAGAGAGGGTATAAATCCTGTTATTACACAGTAGGGCTAAATATGTTGGGCCCAGACATGCACAGTGATTAAATGTGTCTGCGTACAGCCAATGATGGCGCATGATGCATGATGCTCTGCTCTCATTATGAAAATGGCAGTGTGCCGTGTCTGACCTTCTCTACGACTGCCTGAAACAGTATCCCCCACAGAGAGACAGGCAGACGGGCTCATGGTCCCCCACCGCCCAGGCAGTAATGGGATTAAGATCTATTGGCTAATGAGCCCTCAGCCTTTTAATAGAATTTCTGCAGCAGATTAAGCGTTGATCAAATGTCCCGCAGATTAGGGCCTTATCTGTTTAAAAATTACCCGCATTAGTCTGAGGTTTGCTAAAAAAAAATGAACAAATTTTTTTTTCTGTTTCCCACTGATCTGGTTCAAAAAACTCCCTCTGTTGGTGTGTTAGACTTCTCATTTAAGAGGCTTCACACTTGGGATGTGTATTGTAAATTCCCTGAGAAGGTGCAGAGCTGAGTCTTGATACATTCAATATTATAGAATTTGAATGAACTGGCAAATAGCTCTCTGTAGCTTTCAGTTTTTTTGTGCGTCCTCGGATAAAATACAGCATTGGTCGGCAACTGGGTCAAACCGCAGGTCAAAGTCTGCACCAGATAATTCTAATAATTCAATTTTATCTATTTCAACGAATCGGATTGACAGACGCAGGCGGACCGACAAGCGACCGCTGCTGATCTCTGTCATGTCATCAACATTTATAGAATCCCTTTGTCTTCAGCAAATTCATAACTTCAGTATATTGTAGAACTATTTGACAAGGAAAGAAGTAGATCCGGTGCATTAACACAGACCAAGAGAACCATCCATTCCACAGAGACAGGTTTAGAGCAGACACTGCGCTATTTTATCTAATTACATTAGTTTGGTGAGAGCAGAGCATCTCATTTCCCTCCTTAAAGACAGCAACTGCAGGTTAAAAGGACACATGAATCTATAGCTAATGTCGAAATGTCCTATCTTTGAAAATCAAAATACGTTCTCCTGACTACTGACGAGAAATATCCAATGCTCTTGGTTACCTGTGAATGTCAGTGTGATAAAAGCACGGGGGGCTTTTAAGGGGCAAAGCCACAGGAGGTGTCTTGCCAGTATATTAAAAAATCAAGTAGAATTAGTTTGAATCATATTTCTCTACCAAATGAGGCTGTACGAGACTGTTCAAAGTACAACTGAGCAGTCAGATACTATTTATAACAGACACCAATGGTGAAGCAAATCTAAAAATATGCAAATGGGTTATTTTCAGACAGTTTCATTCAGGCGTTTTAAAAACTCCACTGTCTGGCTACAACAACAGAGGGTTACACCCTCAACTAAAGATTTGTCATTTTCTTGTTTTTTAATCTGAGCCAAACCTGTCAGCCGCAATTATGGCATGATGCTTCTCAGGCTGCTGTCAAGTCAACTTTTTAAAAGCGCTGCTGTGTTTGAGGGCCGTGAAACTCGCTGTTGTCGCAACTCAATGAGATTGAATGTGTGAGGTACGGCAAAGATACAGCGCGCTCACAAAAGGTCTCCCCCCTTCTCTTTTATCATCCCGCGTAAATGATAATAGAAAATCATTGTAATTAAGTCATCATAAATGACAATCAGACAAGACCGCCGCTTGAAAGCTCTGTCTCGACTGAATCGGGAGGCTTTTTCTTTTGTTGAATCGTAGATGTGAATAGTGCAGCACTGTCGCTTGTTAAATCATGTCATGTTTTCCCTCAATCCGCTCTAGCAAAAAAAGAAGAGAGATGACACAAACAAAATAAAACCCATCTTTGTGAATCTCTCTTGGAGAGGTCAAGGCCACAGGGGAAGAGTTATTTTGAATTACCTTCAGAGGTGACTGAAAGACATGGTGGCTGACAGAGAACTACCCACACAAAGAGAGGAGGATGTGGATGGGCATAATAGATAAGAGACAGAGGTGAAGGAGGAGACGAGGAGGAGTGGAAGGAAGAGGAGGAGAAAGAGCGACATTGGGACAGTTTTCCTACTCGTTATCCTGAGTGGCAGCCAGGAAACAAGAGCTCTATTAAGGCAGCTCTCAGAAGACAAAGTAAAGAACAAGTGGACTGTTTTTTCCTCTGCAGCATCCTGGGCTTGTTAAGCCGCTGTGCACCCCCTCCGTTCTTTCTTCATCCTCTGCCTTTTCAATTCACCTGTCGATCTGTGATCCAAATCTGTGATGCCTCCCTCATCAACTCCCCACCATCCCTGCAGTTTCCTCTTTCTTTGGGCAGAGTTTAGCCAACCCTGCCCTCATCTTCTTCATCCCTCAACCCTCCTGTTCCTCTCAACCTTTCCCCATTGTTCCGATCCTAGGCAGGTGCAGTTATCTGCTTTAACTCACTCGTCCCTTTTTCCTTCCTTCCTTCCCTGTCCATTTCCTCCCCCTTCTTTTTATTTTACCTTCCTTGACTGACGGGTAGCCCCAGGGGTTGGCATACAGTTCTGCTGCGTTGCATTACTCAGTGCAGAACCAGCTCCTGCTGCCACACGTACATTCACCGGTACAATAACCTAATTCAAACTGATTTCCATTTCCGTAGAGGTCTACCTGATAATCCTGACTGGCTGCAGCGGGAGGAGTTACTCAGAAAACATCTCTGGATCTCAACTGAGCGTCCCTCCTGCTCTCCAGTCAGATAGCATTTGAAGATAAGTGAATTTTAAAATGAGTGGAATTAGTCATGTCAGATCACATTTACAGTGACGGTTGAGAGAAAAGGCTGCAGTCAATAATAGTGTATACATAGCTTTTATAGGCTATGGAAATGGATTGTGGATCCCTGTTCTTTTTAATGTACATTAAAGTGTAATTGAGTGATTGTCACTGGTCCTCAGTCTTCATTAAGGGAAAGTATGGACTTGAATAATCAATCAGTCACCTGAGGCAAATTGAGTTACACACCGGGTTCCTGATGATGAAACAGACACCGAAACGCAAATCCATATTTGCAAGCACTTGAACGGGAGAGTGGATGAGCACTTGTGGCAAATTGGAAATGAGCCTAGTGAACAATCGGTAGCTGCAAGCGTGCACAGATTGCTATTGCTCCGTATCACTTAGCTGTAGCTAATTCCTCCAAGTGAAATCAGAATTTGACAGCTGCTTTTTGCAGTCAACACACGCGTGAATGTGAATTTTAGAATGATTATTTTACTTTTGAAAGCAAGAAAGAAAAAGGTTTCTATAGAGAGAAATGCTGCTTTAACCTCGGAGTGGGAGGATGGATGTATGTGTTTGACTGACAGCTGAGCCAACAGGGGAAATGAGACACAGTATAAACAAACCTCTGCTGGAAACAGCTACTTCACCTTGTAGCTATAGAGCCAAGGAGCTGTGTTAGCAGAAGCAGTAAAAGCCTCACTAATCAATACATTTACATATATATTGATATATTTAGATTTATTAAATATAAAAGTTTTTTAATGTAATATAAAAGCTTCACGTATTGTAACAAATGTCCTGCTCTTCCACACCACCATTTTACTGTTTTGGTCAGGGAAGGATCCAGGGGCAAGGCCTGGGGGCACTGGCCCAAGCTGAAATCTCATTGGACCTCTGAAGTGCCCCTGTCCTGTCAGTAGCCTTTTAAAAAACTAGTCACTTACTAAGAATGAATACGACACTGTGTTGTGAATTTCATTTTCTAAGCTTTTTGAAGTATACAAGTGGTTGGACAAGGAATTACTTAAATTTGCAACTCACAGAATCAGGAATTATGCACAGATGTCCTAAATCCACCCCTGGTTTCGATTCACCCTCATTGATCCTATGTCAACCACAGCCACTGCTGCTGTTCTAAGTGAGAAGGTGGTAAAAACCAAATCAGCAGCCCTGGTCTGACATGGTTTTAAGTAACATCTCTTGAGTGATCTCACCACAAATGGACAGCTCTGAGAGCATCAGTTCACAACAGGCATTAAAATGCATCACCACACGTGTCTCCAGTGACCGCTTGTAATCAGTTCTCACTTCCCTGCTCTACAGCAATGTAAATCATTTCTGCTCACAAACACCAAATGATGTTGT